ATACAGATACATTGTTTCTCACTCTTTATTTTTATCATTTTTGCATTTCTTTATGGTTCTTTATTACTACAGTGTTATAATTATCATTATTAATATTATTACATTTTCGTCCCCCAGGCCCTGATGTGGGTCAGTGACCTGTGCCCGGGTGGGCACCTCAACCCGCCAGGATTCGAACCCACGGCCCACGAGCCTATGACTGTGACCGGGGAACGCTAACCGCTGGACCACCAGGATACTAAAAGCAGTCCTAGACTTTGTTATATTTCACACAAAGCCTGTTCAGCGAGCTTATGGCGCCGTGAACCTCTAATGGGGACCACCCGTATCACGTAGGTGGTCAGAGTAACGTTTCGAAGCCGGATTTGGTAAAAAGCTACCTACCAAGACCTTTGTTGTCAAGTCTGCCAGCAAGTGTCGGGCCGGAAGTTGCAGAAGGAGTGCATCACCGTTTTGTTTACCACCAATGCCTCCGGTACCTGTAAGCTCAAGTTATCGGTGATCCACACAGCCCGCAAGCCGCACGCCTACAAGAACATGGACATGACCAAGCTAAATGTCCACTGGCTAACCGCACGTAAGGCGTGGATGATCTCTGCTCTGTCCCTCTCCTGGTTTGATGACTGTTTCGTTCCCGACGTCAAGAAATTCTGCGAGCAACAGAATGTTCCGTTCAACATTTTGTTGCTCCTTGACAACGCACCAGGACACTCAGCCCTACTGTTGGATTGTCACCCCAACGTAAAAGTGGTCTTCCTTCCTCCCAACACGACGTCGTTAATCCAGCCCATGGACCAGGAGTTGATATGCAACGTTAAGGCTGCATTCTCTACAAAGAAGTTTAAGCTCCTGAACGACTGTACCAACACCAAGGATGAGTTGCGTAACCTGGGTGACACCGATAGCCAGAGTGATAAGGACGAGGAAGAACAGTTGGCGGATCGAGAAGTTCGCGTCAAACAGTTTTGGAAGAAATTTAACGTCAAGAAAGCTGTTGACTTCTTGGTGGAGGCATGGGATCAGCTGCCTGTAGCAATGATTCGTTACGCATGGAGACATGTGTTGCAAGGTATCCCAGGTGGGAGGCAGAGTCAACCTGTGACTGGTGAGGTTCAGTCTCTTGCAGTCTGTTGCGCAGTGTTAGAGCTGCAGGCTTCTCCGAGACCACCAACGACGACATTATGGAGGTGATAAGGGATCCTGAGGTGACTGCCGACGAGATGTTAGAAGACAATGACGTCAGTGAAGAGGCAGGTGGTGCGTCATCCCGAGAAGAACACAAGTTAACGCATGGTAATGTTAAGGATGCCATCGAGTGTGCAGAGAAACTGAAGCTCATCCTTTCCAACGACCCTGACGATAACCGCTATGAAGTCTTCAATAACCAGCTGTTGCAGACTATGGAGCCGTACATCAAGGTGTATCACGAACACATCAACACTAGCCGTCAGCATAACAGCACAGACTTCTTCGCCCGCAACCCACCACAGCCAGCCCAAGCCAGTCATAGTGACAGTGATGGTGACGTTGAGGGAATTGTCAGGGAGGCCATAACAAATATGGTGGATAGTGATGGTGATTCACCTGAGGGCTTGTAATCTGCCCTCTGCCTCGGAACCAGCCGCCATTCCCGTATGCCGACCTATCTCTTCTACTAACGTAAGTGTTAAACCTAACCTAACCTTGATTTTTTCTAACCTAACTTTACGTAAGTGTTAAACCTTGATTTTTTCTAACCTCACCTAACCTGACGTAAGTGTTAAACCTTGATTTTTCTTTTACCTGGTACAGTATATTATTCTCTTATTGATATTTCTCTTCTATATTATGTGTGTGTGCATGCCATCATAAAATTAAGATGTTATTTTTACTACAACGTACGTATTGTGTCGGAAAAAGTGGAGTTTGAGGGTCGGCCCAGTCTCTATTTCAATTAATCCCATATGTTCTGTTATTTCATTTACGCGTTTCTCGTTTTACGCGGTACAACGCTTGTTCAATTGACCGCGTAAATGAAGACCCAATTGTATATATTTTTTTTAGGGGTCCGGGATTGACGGTTAATCCGAAAGTCGGTTAATCGAGGGTCGGTTAATCGAGGTTTTACTGTATATAATTCAAAGGTGGTTGGTAGGAGGGAGAGGGTAAGGCAAGAAGGAGAAAGAAGAATGAGGTGAAGGATATACTCGAAATAAAGGGGAAAACGGCATCCAGGAAGCAGTAGGATGCATGAATAACAAGAAAATATGGCCTCCAGTAGATTATGGGGACGGACAAGTTGCCAATGGGTGATGTTAGGGTCTGTGAGAGGGAACACCAGTAAAAGTGAATTAATAGGTGTGAGTAATGTGACAATCTGAGTCTGCTCTTGGTTCTGGCCATCCTGCAATATACTGTAGCTACTAAGGACTTGTAGTATATGTGGAGGAGGAAAAACAAAACAATGCTGGACAGTACTTGTCAAATTCTACTCAAGCTGTGATGTGGAATGTAGAAAAAAGCCAAGAGGAGGGGGGATGTTGTCCAGTCTGAATCATGATATGTTATTCATATTAATGAGTGACAAAGATATGTGAACTACAGTACTCAATAAGGGATTGTTCATCTTAAAGCATGTGGGAGAGCACTTACACAGGGGCAGATCCAGGAGTATCAAAGGAGGGAGGGATCCAAGAAGTTGTGGATGGGGGAACATGGTGAGCCCATCCCCCACGCAAGACATTTTTTGAAATGTGACCAATATCATGGGCACTTGGAGGCCATGTGTACTTGATAGTAGGAGATATTCTGATGTTAATACAGGTGTAGTAATTACTTTTCACTGTACAAAAATGCCCGAGCACAATACTGCATTAAAGAAAATTTTTTGGAATTTTCTGTTGAAAAGGGGGATACAGACCCCCAGGAACCCCCCCCCCCCTGGATCTGCCTGTGCCCACTGCCTATTATTTATTGTATGCCAGTGCAGTTTTGCTTTAAATACATTAGTATTTATTTTTACAAAAAAATCGTCAAATATAGAATGTCATTCATAAAAACTGTGACATCAACAGCTGTTGGTAATACATTAGCAATTTCATATTTATAAAATTTTAACCCTTAAACGACGGGATCGTAAACAGAAGAGGGCCTTTTGTCCCTACGACAGTGGTCATCTATATACTGTATATATACAGCTATAGTAAAATCAACGTTTTTCTGCCCCATAATTTTTTAAGTATGGCACCTGATTTCTGCTCAAGTGATTTATTGTGACTTGTGGCAACTTCACCTTCCCTCCCCCAACCAGTAGCATTCTTTGTCGTCGCGGTGGAAGTATTGTATCTGGCAATTCCAGTGACGCATCATACGGAAAGACCTCTCGGTGCACTAGTGGTGCCTTGACACCCAGAAAAATAAGTAAAACATTAAGGGAATCCGAGAGTGAGGGCGAGATTGAAGAGCCGATAGATTCACGAAGAACATTAAGAAATGATAGCTGTGTGAGAGCTTCGGTAATAGTGACACTGGCGAGCTAGTCATCAAAACAAGAGAAGTGCTCAAGATACCTGGAGGAAAGTGACGAGGAATGTGAGATAGAATTGCTTCTCCAGATGTTGTAAGTGTACTGGGTAGGAGCGCATCACCAACACTTGCATGAGGTGGTGCACGAGACTGGATTAGTAATGATATAACAATACCGTGAATTAAGTTTCGTTTATTTTCACTGTTACCATGTTGATGCCTCATGACCATAAATTATTACAGAAGGAAATACGACTCTGAGGAACTGTTTGGGAAGGACAGGTGCCGACTGTATTATCGTGACTCAACTCCACAGTCCTCTTAAGTACAGGACTATCAAGTCTCGGTCTCCATAATTATAATACTGTGTAAAACTATATAAGAAATAACAGTGAACCCTCGCTTTATGCGGTTTCACTTTACGCGTTTCTACATTTACACGGTACCCTGCCAAAACCGGAATTCCCACTTTACGCGGTGCATCTACTCATATACGCGGGTGAAGTATAATTTTTTTATTTAGCTCATAAAATTCATACAAATTACCAGGCCAGAATATAATTTACATTGCTGGAATTCTTACAATTTGATGATCATTTTGGATATAAGCATCACATATTTTGCATTAGACATACAAATTTTAGATCTAATGCAAGTATTTTGTTTACTCAGAGCAAATATGTTATCTTTTGTGCAAAATATATGACATTTATATTCAAAATATTCCTGGTCTTGCAAGGAATCCAGCAATGTCAATTATATTATCCTAACTTTAGTCTGAGGTATTATTTATTACTAAAAATGTAAATATACTGTTATAACCCAATCATTTCTCTGGTAGGGAGGGAAGGTGAGGGTGAGGGGTAGGGAGGGAGGGAGGGACCCATGGAGCAGGTGGGAAGAGGGGGGGAGGTGAGGTATTTTGATTGACAGATAGTATTTCGGTAAGTATATTTTGTTTATTTATTGAAGATATTTGTTTTAGCTCATAAAATTCATACAAATTACCGGGCCAGAATATAATTTACATTGCTGGAATTCTTACAATTTGATGACCATTTTGAATATAAACATCATAGATTTTGCATTAGACATACAAATTTTAGATCTACTGTAAGTATTTTGTTTACTCTGAGTAAATATGTTATCTTTTGTGCAAAATATATGACATTTATATTCAAAACATTCCTGGTCTTACAAGGAATCCAGCAATGTCAATTATATTATCCTAACTTTAGTTTGAGGTAATATTTATTACTATACCTTAAAATCTAGTGGTTTTCCCCCAAAAATTTCTCAGAGGGAAGAGCCAGCGAGTGTAGTGTGAGAAGAGGGGGAGGGAGTTGAGTCTATTATTTGAATGGACATTAACTTGGTGACTGTATTTCTCTATTTCTCTTAAGTATTAATTGTGTGCATGTACCATCATAAAATTAAGATGTTATTTTTACTAGAACATAGGTATTGTGTCGGAAAAAGTGGAGTTTGGGGGTCAGCCGGTCTCTATTTCAATTCCACATGTTATGTTGTTCACTTTACGCGTTTCTCGCTTTACACGGGCCTCCGTGGGTTCAATTGACTGCTTAAAGTGAGGGTTCACTGTATAATTATTTTCATCTTGATATCTCGTTTGATTTTATTTCTCATCATAATAAATAGTTTCTGTCTTATGGAAATTTGTCATTACATAGCCTGAAACATCACACAAGGAAGAGAGGATATGACTGGGCTGGTAGAGTGACCTTCTGATACAGCTGTTCTCAGGCCCAATTATAAATTAAATATCATTTTTCTCTATTATTGAAGACAGTATATAATTTATGATGAATTGTACACCATAAGAGGCCAGTCATACAAAACTATAATGATGAATCAATAATATAAACACAAAAAACTGGAGTGCACGGCAATGCTACATCCCATCTGTTTACATGTGAAATATCTTCCCTCTCAAGGTTCTCGTTGGGTGTACTGTATAGGGAGTTTGGTTACACTACTCTCTCCTGCTTTAAAACTCTCATTTTCACTCGTCACAGCAAATAGTCTACGTAAAATGCTTCCATCGTTTAAGGGTTAAATAGAGTAAAGGAAGTTACGCCTTATGGATCTATTATTTGATATACGTTCACAACCTTGTACCATAAAAAAGCCTCTTAATTTATTTGTTTAAAAAATATGAACTCTATTGAATTAGTCATATTAACACCACCATTATGACACATTATTATATATAACTAGTTCTTCTAAACCCATCTGCCCCCTATGTTTCCAAATTCTGTATTTGACTAGATCTTTACGCGTGACCATCCCAACGACTTCATTATTGTCATTCACTACAATGAGATGTCTTAAGCCAAGGGCCCTGAAAAGGTTGAATATCCTGGGCAGAGCTGTACAGGTTACCACTGAGTATGGGGACGGGTTGTAAAATGGTCTCAGGTCCACCGTACAGTTCATATCCTCAGGATTTAAATCAACTTCATCTAGAGTAAAGTAGCGAGGATAGGAGATGCGAAATAGATGGATATCCACTTTGCTATTCTGCCACACTTCAGCATTTTCATTGAAGATCTGCAAATGAATGAAAAGGTTACTGGTAAAGCAAAATTTTTTTTACACTGTATAAGGATACAGCAACGATTCACTACTCTGTTTATTATCTGTAAACCTCTTCCACTTGTGTGTGAGGTAGAGGGAAATATATAGGAACCTTAAACATGGGGTAAAATTAACAGAGAAAGTAGTGTAAAAGACTAATGTAAAAGGCACCAAGAATATATCAACAGATACTTATACTGTATACATAACCTGCATATGTAGTATACCAAATGAATCTAACAAAAATTTACAGCTGGATATTCCTCCTGACTGAAGATAGAGGATCATACTGTACCTTACTGGTTGGTTTAAGTTGAAGCACAAAAATTGTATACCCAGAAATACAACACTATCATACAAAAACTTGTACTCAAATAAATACAATTCCTTAGCATTTGTTAGAATACAAAATTAAGGAGTCTGCCGAGGACAGTGACCCAAAGCTGTACAGTAGGTTTAGGTGGTGGCAGTGTCAGGCTCTCTGGTCCTAGAATTAACCCCTGTTTCTTCTATAGGATTAAAGGTGATGAGCAATGTACCTGGCTAAGCAAGATAATCATCAGGACACATTACTGTGGTATAGCAGGAGTTTACTGAGCAATTAAGTGATGGGTTGGATTAGGTTAGGTTAGACTACCTATGATCAGCTTAGGTTAGGTGAGGCGTATAAAAGTACGTGTTATGAAGAAAATCAATTAGCCTTCAATAACATAAAAAATCCAGCCATTGAAGCTGGCAGTATATGGGAGATGCATTAAAAGAGATTAGTTAGAATAGTTCACTAGTTAGGTCAAATTAGAGTTCATATACAGTAGTTATAACAACCTAAATAAGAAGTCAGATCATCTTTAATAAACGAACTACTCTACCCGTCAGTGATTTCAGGTTTAAATGACTATACGAGTATGATGTGAGACTAGTTAGGTCTGACTTGCTGGAAATAAGTGTAATTAATATAAGTACAGGGGTATTGTACCTAAATACTTAAGGTTTCGAAAAGACGGACAAACTTTCACTGGAATAACCTTCATTACATGTTATTTCCGGTCATGTTGGGTGAAGGATGTATGATCAGTTTGGAGAGGTTTGTTAACTTAAATATGAGTTGATTAAAGCAGAATTAGCTTGTGAGTGATTTTAAATATTTAGTGAAGTAGAAAACATTAGTCTTAAGGTTAATAATTGCCTGTCATATAAATAAAGTGATACCTGTTAAAGGGGATATTGTAGTTACTTTGTCCTAGCATTCATTTTTTGACACTAACTTATGAATACAGAATGTGAATATGAAAATGATAATCAATGAACAGGCAATGTAGAAGAGCAAAGAACATAGTTTACTTGCAGGGTGGACATTGAGAAAGAGAAAAAAAAAGTGGTTTCTGGGGTGACAAACTATTACCTTACACAGTACAATTCTTGAAGAACATTCATTAAAGAATTACATTACCTTGTGTTTTAACAAGACTGTGAGCTGGGAGCGCAAGATGACGCCTCTCAGGGTGCCAAATGACTTGAAGTAGCATACATTTTCACTCGTTGGAATAGAGTCTACAACTGGGAAACCATTGTATGTGTTGGCCTTGAGAATGTTCACAATATGACCAACCCTCTCAACACTCTTTAAGGTGACAACAGGCCTATTCATTACCTGCATGGAAAATAAGTATATCAATGACAAGTCTGCTGTAAAAATTTAAAAGAAGCTCAGTACCTGTACATCTATAATAATTTCAACCTTTAATCACATCAAATATTGTTAGAAATTGCCAATATTGTATAAGACAATGAATACTCTCCCTCCGTCTCCCTCTGTATGTATACAGTAATACCCCGCTTAACGCGGTTTCGAACTTTCACTTAACACGGTTTTCCACGTATACGCCAGAGTGTCCGGCTCGAGACGCTATTTTTAGGTTCGCCCCACCCGCCACCCTGCCTGCCTGTTTTAGCTCATAAAATTCATACAAATTGCCCGGCCAGAATATAATTTACATTGCTGGAATTCTTACAATTTGATGATCATTTTGAATATAAACATCATAGATTTTGCATTAGACATACAAATTTTAGATATAATGTTTACTCTGAGTAAATATGTTATCTTTTGTGCAAAATATATGACATTTATATTCAAAATATTCCTGGTCTTACAAGGAATCCAGCAATGTCAATTATATTATCCTAACTTTAATTTGAGGAATTATTTATTAAAATTTAGTGATTTCCCCCCAAACTTTCTCAGAGAGGGAAGAGCCAGCGAGTGTAGTGTGAGAAGAGGGGGAGGGAGTTGAGTCCATTATTTGAATGGACATTAACTTGGTGACTGTATTTCTCTATTTCTCTTAAGTATTAATTGTGTGCATGTACCATCATAAAATTAAGATGTTATTTTTACTAGAACATAGGTATTGTGTCGGAAAAAGTAGAGTTTGGGGGTTCCGGCCAGTCTCTATTGGAATTAATCCCATATGTTCTGTTGTTCACTTAACACGGTACCCTGTGGGTTCAATTGACCTTACGCAGGGTACTACTGTACACAGTGGTCCCTCGGTTAACGAACGGTTCAATTTACGAAATTTCGGTAAACGAATTACCTCCCATCTTAACACGGCTTTAATGGTATTCTTGGTTAATTGTATCCTGGTACAGTACTGCACAACACAGATTGTATGTGAAGACAGCAGTGAGTGAGTACAATGATGACAGATAGTGAACTAACAGTGTCATAATGCAAGAGTTTGAGGAGATGGACTGAGATACATCAGCCAATCATAGGCATCCCATGACAGTAGCAGCCAATCATACCTCATGAGCACTCTTGAGCCTACCTACCCTCACAACTGCTTGGCACAGGTCAACGCATGATGCAAGCTCGCAGAAATTCATTTGAATGACTGAACGTTAAGATATTATTTTTTTAAATTTCTTGCATGTTAAAATTAAATTTTTTGGGTGATGGAAGGTTCCAGGGACTGAAAATTATGGCTAACATTAATTTGGTTTAATAATAACAAAATTTTGATACCCCTTCTCACTTAAAGTGATGCAAAAATTTGGATTAGCCAAAGTTTGACTCTGCGAAAGGGGAAAATGGGAATGAGGTGACCTTTTTATGTGGCATGTTGCCCTGTTACATGTAAGGACACTATAAAAGTTGTGGAAAAATCATTACAATACTCCAATGTGGCTTAGAAATAACGAAAATATTATATAACACAAAAAAAAAAAATAATAATAATTATCATAAGGTCCAAAACAGAAAGGGATTAAAAATTTATGTGTGGGAGCTAACACAAGAGAGTGAGGGAGGGAAGGAGTGGCACTCTCTCATGGCTTCACTGTCTCTCTGTAGTGACAGCATTTCCAAATGGCAACGCAGTATTTTTTCTTTTATTTAATTATTATTATGATTTTTAATTATTCCTCACATTCACTGTTCAGCTACCGAACAAAGAGGTACTAGCGCTTGGGAAGATATTGGAAGCATAATGTGTTGTCTAATGGTAGACCCTGCTGCCATATGGCATTACGAAAATTGTGACCAAGTCCCAGGTTGCTCATCTATCTTTCTGCCTCATTTACACACAATTGCAGGGTCTCAATTGTCTCTCTTATTATTGACAACACCACAAATATAACCGTAGGTACTCATTCTTGATCTGTTTTATTCATTCTATTTTATTCTATGTCAGCTGATATTAATATTAAAGCGGGGCCTTCTCGGATGGGTCCCACTGGTCGGGAAGGTTGTGGACCCCAGGGCCGACCTGATCATCATCATCATCAAGTTACTGGGGCCTCAACTGACGCCACCGCGGTTGTTGGAGGATCGGCTTTTTTCACACTTCATTTTTCCAACATTCGCGGCCTGAGATCCAATTTTCCTTCTGTGGAGCACCATCTATTAACCTCTTCCCCCGACCTCTTACTACTTTCCAAACTTCAACTGTCCAAAGCAGCTTCACCTAAACCTTTTCAAGTCTCCAACTACAACCTTTATACCTCCTTCCGTTCTAAGGGAGGTGTATGCGCCTACTGCAACACACGTACACCTATAGCTCGACTCATGGATCTTGAATCTCCCCTTTATGATGTCATCTGGCTCAAAATATCTCTACCAACTATGACTATTTTTCTTTGTCTCCTGTACTGTTCTCCCAACTCTACCAACTATTTGGAACTCTTTGACTATCTCACTTCTTGCCATGAGTCGTTGCTATCCACACACCCCAACACCGAGATCTTCTACCTCGTGGATATCAATGTACATCACAGTGAGTGGCTTGGCTCTGCAAGGGATGAGCCAGGTGGAGCTGAGGCACTCTCTTTTTCCCTACTTAATGACTTGGAACAAATAATCAAACACCTTACACGCGTTCCTGATCGACACGATCAACTTGCTAACATTCTTGATCTTTGTTTTACCTCCAACCCCTCACACTATTCATACTCAATTTTTGCCCCCTTAGAGTCTTCTGATCACAACCTTATTTCTATTAAATCAAACTGGGCACGACCACCTCCCCCACCCCCCTCTAAACGTCAACTATGGCACTATCGGAGGGCAAGCTGGCAATCCTTGAGAGAATTCTTCACCGACTTTCCTTGGGATAAATGTTGCTTTTCCACTCAGGACGCCTCAGTATGTGCTGACAGCATTGCTGGGGTTATACAGGATGGTATGAGTGCATTTATCCCATCTTCTACCAAAACTTTCACTTTACAATCATGGTTTGATCGCTCCTGCTCTCTTGCTTGCAGGGTGAGAGATAGGGCATATCAAGCTGTGAAACTATCACTCCTCTTTCATTACTTCTAGGAATCGTTGTAAGGCTATTCTTCGTAGGGCCAAGCAGAATTTTATTAAAAGAAAGACCGCTGTCCTAACTTCTGCACTCCTTCTTTTCCTCCTCTCTTCCGACCTGATAACTCTATAGCCAACTCTCCCCCTGACAAAGCCAACCTCTTTGGCACCTTATTCTCCTCTAATTCCACCTTAGACGATTCCCACTCTATCCCTCCTACCCCTGCTCCTCTTACTGAACCTATGCACTTTCCTATAATCTCCACTCGTAGGGTTGCCGGTGTGTTATCCAGGTTGGATGTGAGTAAGGCGCATGGACTGGACGGAATACCCCCTCGTGTTCTGAGGGAGTGTGCTGAAGCTCTGGCCCCTGTGCTTGCTCGCCTCTGCCTCAAAACCCAAACTTTTCCTTCTTCTTGGAAGCATGCCTTGGTTCAGCCCATCCCAAAGAGGGGTGACCATCCTAATCCCTCTAACTATCACCCCATTGCCCTAACTTCATCCCTCTCTAAGATTTTCGAAATTCTTGAACTCCCATTTTCTCCGCCACCTTGAACGCCATTCTCTTTTGTCGGATCACCAGTATGGCTTTCGCCAGGCGAGATCTACTGGTGATCTGCTCTCCTATTGCACCCATCTTTGGCCATCCTCTCTTAGTGATTATGGGGAAACTTTCGTCGTGGCCCTCGACATTTCCAAAGCATTTGACAGGGCATGGCACAAGTCTTTGTTATCTAAACTTCCTTCTTTTGGTTTCTCTCCCCCACTTTGTTTTCTCATCTCTAGCTTCCTTGAGAACTGATCCATGGCAGTTGTTGTTGAGGGATCGATCTCTCGCTCTTTCTCTAACAGTAGTGGTGTCCCACAGGGTTCTGTTCTTTCACCGACTCTCTTCCTTCTTTTTATCAATGATTTACTTCACACTACAACTAATTCTATCCATTCTTACGCTGATGAGTCTACTCTTCACATTTTCCCCTTCCTCCTAACTCTCAAACTAGATCTGTTTCTAGAACTGATATCATTACTTCTATCAATGCAGATCTGTGCACCATCTCTGAATGGGGAGGTAGAAACTTGGTCAAGTTCAATAGTAATAAAACTCAATATTTACCAATTACACTTTCTAAATTAGATGATCTCACACCAATTACATTTCAGGACGCTATCATCCTGCCAAATTCTGAAATAAATATGTTAGGCCTCACCATTTCCTCCAATATGTCCTGGATATCACACATCCTTAGTATAGGTAAAGCTGCCTCCCGAAAGTTGGGAATGCTGTACAGATGCCGCAGCTACTTCACTCCTGAGCAGTTGCTCCAAGTATATAATGGATTCATTCGTCCTAACTTGGAGTCCTGCTCTCATATCTGGGATGGCTCTTCTTCTGTCGAACTGTTAGACAGGGTGGAATCAAAGGCATTTCATCTTATTAACTCTCCTCCTTTAGTCGACAATATCTCTTCCCTTTCTCTTCAACACAATGTTGCTTCACTCTCTCTCTTTTACAGGTACTTTAACGGGCAATGTTCGGTGGATTTGGCATCCTGTGTACCGCCGGCAAGGCCGTGGGTTCGTAACACACGTCTTGCCCGCGGTGCCCACCGTTTCTCTGTGGATGTCGGTCACCCGAGAATAACCCGTTATAATACCTCCTTCTTTCCTCACACAGCCAAACTGTGGAATGCTCTGCCTTCTTCTGTGTTTCCATACTTATACAATCTGTCTCACTTTAAAAAGCTGGTTTTCCGGCATCTTCGTGGTGTAGATTAACACAATATAACCTTTTTGTTCTCTATTTTCAATTTCGTTCTGTTCTTTTTTCTCTTTTTTCGCCCCCCATGGCCCCGATGTGGGTCGTTTGACCTATGCCCGGGTGGGCCAATTCCCATAAAACAGAAAAGAAAAAAGAAGCTGACTAGAGATGTGTGTGGCTGCTGCCTGTTGCTGTCATGTCACACAAGGAGGGGAAGGAAAATGTAGTTGGCCACAGTAATAGCTCACTGCTTCATTACATATGTTCACTTCCTCCACAAACTCACCCATGCTCTTCTATTTTCTTATTTCATAGCTTCATATTTTCTTTATTTCTAAGCCACATGAGAGTACTGTAAAGTTGTCCACTTGAAGCACAGAATCCCCAGTTTTTCCGACTTCATTCCCAAGATTTTCCCAGCGAGTCAAACATCGTTAAACCGAATTTTGATCAATTGTTATCCAAGAAAGGATGCTAGAACATTTTATATCACCAAGTGAACAAACGTTAAACGAGGGATATCTGTATTTTTATGTTCCTCACCTAATGCTGTTCTCATCACTTATGTGACCTGCTCTGTAACACTCTGAATCAGTCTGTGCTAACAGGATGACTTCTGTCAACATTTTATGGTACCTGATTGAAACTCTGTAAATAGGTTTCAAAAGAGCAACTATTTACAAGGGTATCCACCAAAATTTGGAATGATTCTGTAAATGCAGATTATTTGGGAGAAAAACTGCCATTGTTTCCTGTCACAATTATATATTTTAAAAGTTTGAGTTTTTGTTGGATGATACTCCATTCAGCGGAGGATTTACACCCAGGTCTTGCGTTGAGAAAAACAAAACAAAAAACAACAACATGCAAAACAATATTCACTATGAGTAGGAGGGTTGGGTATCTGCTGAGCTGAGTAGGTGTATGGCATTTGTTTACTTATGTCCAGTGCACTTGGGATCATGACCTGAAAATTCTATTCATTCTTAATTTTTTAAAGGTTTTAATGACTTTTGTTTGAGAAGACATAAAATACCTTACAGGAGAGGACCTACTCCTCTATCCAGTCACTTTATGATGTATACAGTACAGGGGCCCCCTGTACTGTATAGTACCTCAAAAAAGTATCTGCCACACACTGTGAAACATTATGAGACCATGGATGAGAGATATTGATATATGCTCGTTCTTGCCCTGAATAGTTTAACATAAGTAATACCCTGAGTATTTATTTTGGCATAATTAATAAGATGTCCAAAGTAGGATCAGTAAGTGACAGAGCCACATATACCAACCCTCCCAGGACATGTGGCAGTCAACTGATCCATCCTGGCAGATACTTTTTGAGATCCTATACATGCAAAAAACAAATACTTGAAGCACAATAGTTTATGTTTTAACAAGACCACCAGCTTAGGCTACAGATGTAAACATTTTCAATGTTTACATCACTCAATTAAGATCTTACAGGCTGCTGACCACTTAAAAATAATTCCATCTGAGAATATTCCCACCAAGTTTCATTGAAATTCATTTTAAAAACAGGACTCATTATGCATCCAAGAATTATGCTGACATAAACAGAGACACACCTAAAGATTCTAGAATGATGCCGACTGCATTTGTCATACAGCTGCACTGCTTCATACCAGGACCAAAATGTCTGTACAGTACATACTCCTGACCACCGGGCTATCACATCTCTAAACCAAGATGTTAGTAAAGTAAACTGTCGACCATAAAGAGGATTAACTTACTTCTGAGGCATAGATGTTGTTTGACAGAGGTGGGGCATCCCAGGCCATAATAGGGACACCTTGCATTTGAATGTGGATATCGTAGATACCCTGCAAGAGTCACCACTGTCATGTTTCTTGTCATGTATTACCACATCAGCTATTGTTTCTTTATCTCAACATAAGCAAAATATTAAGAATATTTGAAATACAAGTTAATCAACCATAACAGTCCCAATAATTGTAACAGGATAATGTACACACCTCATTGAAGAAATCTCCTACCCATTTAGCCACCATGAGAACAATCATGAGTGGTAAGCCAAACGTTATGTTACCCACACACTCCATTAGGATTACGGTCAAACTGAGCGTCATCCGGACAACACCGCCAAGCATTGCTCCAGCCCCAACCAGTGCATATTTACCTTCATCAACCCATTTCTGAAAATAGCCAGAATTGTTCAAATGTTACTAACTTCTAACAGTTATTAGCTCCCAGATGGATTTCGTATAAAATATATAAAGGATTATCCAAGATTTCTTTCATTTATCTTCAGAATTATTTATCCCAATTACATACAGTATGGGCTGGATAAAAGGATAGAGCTTAACAAAGGAAGTCAATTATAGGGGAAGGCTGTTGAAGTGAATGTAGTGGGTGAAATAATAATGAAGGATGAAATAGGTTAAGACAATTCAGGATTAAAGCTCCAAATAATAATGAAAACACACTGAGGGAGGGAAGGCACGCAAAGAGAAAGACCCAGATCAAAACAAGAGGTAAATGATAGGATGTAAAGTTGAAATTATTAAATAGGTGGAGAGAAGATGAAAGAGCAAATCAGAAAAGAAGAAAAATATTGAATGAAACTAATAATATAAGGAGTCAACAGGACACAGAACACAAAAAATCAGAAAGAAAGACACGTGAAAGTGAAAGAAATGTTGGACAGAGAGCTGATAAGGAATTGCTCAGGTGGTACAGACAAATGGAAGAATGGAAAGAGAAAGATTGGTAGAATGACTATAATTATGAGATAAATGGGAGGAGGGAGAGAGAGAAATAATGAACGAAATCAAAGGATGGGGAGAAGAATGCACCAAAATAAGAGTGTGATGAAAAATGTGCATTTATGACCAAACAACGTGCATCGTGACCTTTGGGGATGGAAGTACTGTTGAGGGTTGATGTTAGACCAAGTTAAGTGATGGGTATGTACAGTACAACTAACACAGATGCAAAAAGGTGATTTAAAACAAAGGATTAATTACGAAATTCCATTCTACGACAAAGCCCAAAATTAGGCAGTGTGAATATAGGTAGAACACCATGCATTCAGTCTAGACCTAAGATACCTGACACTGGTGGATGGGACAGACCTTATATGATCAGTTTACATCCACTACTACTATTGTCATCCTGAAATGTAGGTGTAGAAGTAATATTTTCTCTCATAGACACTAAGGAAAGAAGGGCTGAAGAAATATGAAAGTCAGATCAGCTAGTGAGAACTTTTCCTTTCTTTTCAAATCAGCAATGACGGTTTTCAGGCATCAGTGCCCATTTAATCTCATAAATCTCCGTGAAAACCCATTGGAGGTGCGAGAGTTTCTGAGCCACCTAGTTTCTAGCTTGGTAATTAAATGGGATTTCAGCATTGGTCCTTCATCTGTGACCAGTCGCCCTTCATTAGGTGGCTCAAGTAACTGATAACAACTAGGAATGAGAGGAAGTGCAGCTAAATGTTCCAATGCCTAAAGTAACACTACATCTCAATGGAAGTTTAACCCGACTTTTATAAAAATCTATAACAGGGAACAAGGATACACACCTTACACACTACTTAATGCCATCAGTGTCGTCCCTATCGATACAATGGCCTCTTTGTAGTAGAGAATGAATCAACATTCTCACCAGGAAGGTCATATGGACAGCCTATCCCTTACAGTCATGAGTTCAAGATGTACTGTACAGCCTGGCACAATAAGCCTTGGAAGCTCTTATATTTATTATTATACTTTAATTATAATGTTTGTTGTTGAAACCATAAAGGAATTTTGAAACGGGACTCTACAGCTTTGACAATACAGGTGCTCCTCTACTTAAGAATGTCCAACTTACAAACTTTCAGAGATACAAACATCATCACTGAAGGGGGTTACCTGCCAGAACAGGTGTTTAATGTGGATGAGACTGGATTATTTTGAAGAAAATTCCAGATAGAACAAACAATACCTAAGAGGAGAAGAGTGAGCCAGGTTTTAAGGCTGTATTAAAGGGTATAGCTGTACTAAATATCCATAATCTTTCATTTTTTACAATATGTTTGGTGTCTACAGGAGTAAAGTTGGACTCACAAACAAGCCTCAGGAACGTAACTCGTTCGTAAGTGGAGGAGCACCTGTACTGTACAGTATAATAACAATTTCAATCACCTTCCAACTTCTAGGTTGAGACTGAACATACTCTAGTTTAATATTAAAGAGATCCATCCTTAGCTAAGCCTCGGTCACTAACCCACTCACCAGAAAGGCCAATGGAAATTAAACTAAATCTACTCATAAAGCAAATAAAGCTTTTTCCTGAGGCCAAGGCTGGAGGGGAAGCTACCTCAGTGGAGAACACCAACATAACTACCACAATTATCACCAAACTGTACAAGAATCTATGAACTGTTTCAAGAGACTAAGTAACCGGCAGGGAATGAAAAGTTTCCTTCAAAAGAGAGAAAAAAAAAAAAGACTAGCACAAGGATTTCTCTCAAATGCCAAGCCACAGCACATTTATACAGTATTAAGTAAACATGTTAGCAAACAAAATACAGTATTCTTTTGTAAACCCTGGACAAGAAATCTTACCACCAAAGAAATCAATTCTGCTTCCAGCTTCTCTAACTTTATTATCATTAAAAATGTCTCCAAGAGGATCCCTTTGAGATCCAATTAAAATAAGTAACTGCAGATCTACTGCATTTTCAGATCACATCTTTGTGAGAAAATCCACTTTTTGTGTGTGGGGGGAGCAGGATACTATAAACTGATACTGTACCAGATTAACTTCCTCCCTCTTTCTAATTTGATTCTAGAAAATGACTCAAAAGACAGACTGAACCCAGAAGAAAATACTCAGTGTATTCTCCGCCTCCATTCCCCAAGACATCTCATCCGAAAGCCCAACTGTACCAGCGAGCTCCATCTTCACTACTGAATATGGGGAAGAAGCAGAACTGGAGGACTCTGTCTTAACTTGCTGTTCAACAACACCTGGTTGTATACCACAGGGTTTTGCAGCAACTGTGCACAAGGTGGAAGATCAAATATTAAACCTCTCACCACAGATCTGCCATCTCTAATATGCATCAAAGGAGCTGCTCCAACTTAAGTCAGCATGTGTTGTTTAACAAATCCCACTCCCCTTGATCTAGAGGAACTGAAACAACCTTTATTAATTCTGACCTCCTCCCCAACCCTTTCCCCAATAATTTTTCCACTTCTTCACTCCACAAAAAGGGATGAGAAGGTCGAGTATACCGCGATTTACGAGAATAACAGCACACTTTAAAAGAGGCTTTAGTATCTGTAATATAAGTGAAGGAAACTCAGCTATTTAACACACTATAAGGGTCAGGTGGACAGACTGGGGCACCATCTATTCTGTGGCAAAAGCAGCTAGGGCTGAGTAGAGATTGATAATAAAATGCTGACCTGAAGATAAATGGTAAAGTGCATACTAGCTGTTGTGATGTCACTTGTTCATCAACTCCTTTGGTGTCGATGAGGGAAGAACTTGTTTGTTTTTTCAGGACAATTGTTGTACTGGGGAAGGTCAACCCCAGCCACTGATATCATGTTTCCTGGGTCCAGACTAAAGGTTTACTGTTACATTTATACTCAATTACTGAAAGGCAAGTGGCCATTTAATCGTACCCAATTATTTCTTGAACACAAAACCTTAATGTTGTCATGCTGTATCTGTATGGTGTGGTGTGTACAGTAATATGGTGTCAGTTAAGCAGGAAATACATTTATTTTCAGATGATATTATAAAATATCACAATAAAGTTTCCATTATAACAGTTGACATTTCTTAATGATATGAAAGTTATTTTAAAGCTTAAACTAAAATTACGTAACAAAATAAACAAAACACAATAAGTTAAACAATGAACCCACGTTAAAACAACCTGATCGGGGAAGAAGAGGCACAAGAGCATTCCTACGAGCCGGCCCCAGGCAGCTCCACACAGAAGTGTTGGGATAAAGAGTCCAGCAGGAATCCCCAGGCCATATGTCCAGCATGCCAAGAAGAAGTAACACACAAAGAACACACCTATAGTTGACCAGTGATAAGAGTCTATAAAAAAAATAAGAAAAAAATAATTAACACAAAGTACAAAAACAAATTAAACAATAGTTTGATAAATGAATATATTAAGTTATTACAAGTCTCTGCAAAGATTACTTGGGGGGGGGACATACAAGCCTTTTCCTGCTATGATCAAAGGCAGCCAGACAGACAAAGATCTCTTGAATTTTAGCATTCTGGTTACATATGAATTCACCAAATGTTTTTTCATAAGTGACAAATATATCTAATCAGTGTCCCCACTTATACGTGAGAGCACATTGGTTATTACACAAGGAAGGAAATCACTTCTTCTTTCCACTAAGAACTGAACCCATGACCAGTCACCATAAGAGACAAAGCTCCTTCACCTGAACATAACTAAAATACTTTCACTGTTGCAGTAAAAGCAATAAAAGGCAACACATTAAAAAACTATATTTAATACTGCTTACACTATGGCATCACACAGCTCCTAACCACCAATGAATCACATGTTTCAAAAGTCACTGTTGCCTAAAATTTTCTCTTAGGCATCTATATGTGATCTATGAATATTTATAAGAGAAGAAAGAATTCTAAGGAGAAAAATGATTTGTTCTCTTTAGGCGAGCATCCGGCTTATATCGATAAAAAAGAAAAAAAGAAAAAGAAAAAAAAAGAACAAATTCCCGAGCAAAGGTGTTGCCTATGACTGTATCTGGACGGAGTTTTATGTTTTTGACTGACTTCAATGAAACAAACACTCAGCACAGGAAGAACCCTTCCTCAACATAACTCCAGAATCCATATTTTTCTATCTTGTAAGATTTATTGTTGGTTGAATATTTAGTAGGTAGTAGGCGGCTATCAAACAGGGAGGTACTACCGCCTGGGAAGATATTGGAAACATAATGTGTTGTCTATGGTAGACCCTGCTGCCATATGGCATCACAAAAATTGTGACCAAGTCCCAGGTTGCTGACATGACTTTCTGCCTCATTTACACACAATTGCAGGGTCTCAATTGTTTCTCTTAATATTGACAACACAACATACATATATTGTTTCTCACTTTTGATTTTTTTCATTTTGTATTTCTTTATGGTTCTTTATTATTATTATTATTATTATTATTATTATTATTATTATATTTTCACCCCCTAAGCCCCGATGTGGGTCAGTGACCTGTGCCTGGGAGGGCTAATCCCCGAAAAAAAAAAAAAAAAAAAAATATATATACAGTAGTACCCTGCTTAACGCGGTCAATAAAACCCACAGGGTACCGTGTTAAGTGGTGTTTAGTGAAAACCGTGCTAAGTGAACAACAGAACATATGCGATTAATTCCAATAGAAACTGGCCCGACCCCCAAACTCCACTTTTTCCGACACAATACCTATGTTCTAGTAAAAATAACATCTTAATTTTATGATGGTACATGCACACAATTAATACTTAAGAGAAATAGAGAAATACAGTTGCCAAGTTAATGTCCATTCAAATAATGGACACGACTCCCTCCCCCTCTTCTCACACTACACTCACTGGCTCTTCCCTCTGAGAAATTTTGGGGGGAAAACCACTAAATTTTAATAAATAATACCTCAAATTAAAGTTAGGATAATATAATTGACATTGCTGGATTCCTTGTAAGACCAGGAATATTTTGAATATAAATTTCATACATTTTGCCCAAAAGATAACATATTTACTCAGAGTAAACATTATATCTAAAATTTGTATGTCTAATGCAAAATCTATGATGTTTATATTCAAAATGATCATCAAATTGTAAGAATTCCAGCAATGTAAATTATATTCTGACCGTGTAATTTGTATGAATTTTATGAGCTAAAACAGGCAGGCAGGCAGGCAGGCAGGCAGGCAGGCAGGCAGTCAGTCAGGCAGGATGGCGGGTGGGGCGAATCTAAAAATAGGGTCTCAGAGCTGGACACTCTGCGCGTATACTGGAAAAACCCTGGAAAAAACCCGTGAAAGGTGAAAGTTCGGCTCTGGCGAGGCACCGCGTATACGTGAAATCGCGCTAAGCGAAACCGTGTTAAGCGGGGTATTACTGTATTTTTGCTGAAATGACGTTCGTATTACAGTGGAAAGTGGGATAAAATCGTGACGAAAACAATGACTTTCGCTTTCTTTTGTTCAAAAGATGTTACTGTAATCGCTTTTCGAATGGTTTTCAGTTGAAAAACTGTTGTATTACAATAATATTCTATCCTAATTGACTTGAATAAATACTACGATACCATATTTCTGAATATTTTCATTAAAATCCATCCAAATAATTTTCCTTGTCATCGTCTGCAGCACCAAACAGCTTCTCCCAGTCCTCTCCTTGAACAGGGCTAGAGGGTACACGTGTTTTTTTAATCGTTTTCAGTTATAAAACTGTTACATCACACGTATATTTTACCTAAACTGCCCCGAAATGAATATATTCTCGGAGATAAATAGTAGTTTTGCTGAAACGTTATGTATTTCAATGTAAAAAATACATGACGAAAACAAAAGACTTTACCTAAGCTTCCGATGTTCTTGAGATGTTACTCGTTTTTTTAATAGTTTTCGGTTAAAATACTGTTATATTACAATGATATTCTATTCATACTGTGCTTGATATAATACATTCACGGAAATGTAATATTTTTGCTGAAATTACGTACGTATTACAGTGGAAAGTGGGATAAAATCGTGACGAAAACAATGACTCGCTTTCTTTCGTTCAAAAGATGTTACCGTAATCGCTTTTTGAATGGTTTAGTTAAAAAACTGTTGTATTACAATAATATTCCCTCCTAATTGACTTGAATAACTACTTGAATGGAAATATACAATATTTTTGTTGAAACTACCCGCGTTTCAGTGTAAAGTGTCGTAATAATAAATGGTAAAAATTTGCCTTCGGCACTCGGTGTTTCAGGCACGGTGAGCCTCAGTTTATAGGATGCAGAGTGTTTTTACTGATGGTTTTGTTGTTCCATTACCCTCAAAAACGTGGGTCGACCTATAAACGAGGAATATCATAAATTAACGATTTCTTGGTCAAAAAATCAGGGTCGACCTATGAACGAGGGGGGGTTATAGACGAGTGTATACGGTATGAATTAAACAAAAACCAAATTATAACAATTCAAATTAATGAATGTACAGTATCCAAACTTGTTCTCTGGTTCACACTATCATTTACCTCAGTCACTTGTTAACCTATACGTACAAGTGTGGAAAAAGACCATAAAATGTTGATAATGCCTTTTTTCCAACAGCTGTCCAACATATTTCTTCATCATGTTATACTCCAGAACTCATCTACATTTCAACTATCCTTTCCTCATTACCGGTACTTGGTGGTGATAATAAACGTTACATTCACCAGAGTTTTCTTCTCTAGTTACTGCTACAATGTCTCTTGGTTTATGTTGAATTCCTTCTCATTCTTTAACACTCTTGAGCTTTTCATACATAAAATTGCATATGATCTAAATTGTCACTTCAGGGTTTTTATATGCAAACTTAGGTATGTAGTTAAAATTAAAATAACCTAATTCTATGTTTGTGAATGCAAGACACACATTTGACATTGTGAGCGCGGTCTGGCAACTGTGTAGACTGCACTCAAGGTCACCACACCAGTCTCCCTTTAGTGACCCAGGATATAACGTTGACCCACACATTTCTTGTGCATCACAGTGATTTAATTTATTCATAACAGTGTTGTGAGAGTTTTGAACCTTGCCTTGTGTTGCTGGTGAGGGTGGAGGGTGGGAAAATGTAAAAAGTACAAGGAGATTGTACCACTTGGTGATAGTGTGGTGCCTACTGATGCCTCTCCCTAGTGAAATATGAATTTTTTCACAACTATATATATTCTTTCCTAAATATGCACGCTTTATAATGGAATAAAGTTCATGCTGCAATCACATGAAATAATGAAGGTCTAAAGTGATGTATAAACATATTCATTAAGCGTAAACCAAAACTCTGTGTTCTACTCGCGCTTACGTACAGAAATAATTATTTTATCGTATAAAACTGTTTGTAGACAATTTATTTACAATGCTAATGCAACAAATCCCACCTTTTATCTCAAATAGTAAACTTACGATTCATTATGTACAATTATCTCTGGTGCGGTGAGGTAAGACCTGAGGGTCTACCCATACCCAAGAGTGTTAATACTACAGACAACCTTGAACTGTTTACAAATTCCAAAAATCACAAAGAGAGGCAATCAAACCTTTCTTACATAAAATGAGTTTGTATCAAGCAGATGCAATACTTGAACTCAGGGACAAAAATTATCAATTTTTTTCTTATTACAGGTTCCTCATCGTAGGATTGGTAGAATGGAAGATTGGAGTTACCAGAGCCAAGTTACTAACCTGAAGTATCATGAAACAATGATCTCACACTCCTTTCAGGAGTCTGAAACCATATTGCTGCAGCTGCATTTTCTTCACCAATACCACAAAACATCTGAAAAACATCCAAGCATTTCAAAATTTATTTTATACTGTACAGCATAGTTAAAAAAAATTAATTATGAATATTTCTCCCATGAATTTTATGTAAGTCTTTTAACTTCATATATATATTTTTTTCTATACAGTTTTCTAAATTATGATAAAAAGTTTGTGTGTGTCTTTAAAGCTAATCTATAAGTGCTGAAGCCAGTGTCCTCTTGAAGCTGAATACAATCATGCGCCAGTTAACGTCCAAGATACGTTCTTGGAAACGTGACGTTAACCGAAATGGACGTTGTCCAATCATTACATAAACTTTGTATTTATACTTACATGTATGTGGAATACTATATACGTACATATACACTTTTACTCTTAAATCACTACTGTAATGTGATACAGGTGATTAATTTTTATCTCTTGTGCAAAATACATGACGTTTATATTAAAATTATTCACTGTTTTACAAGGATTCCAGCAACGCTGGGCAGATGGGGGAGAGGGAGGGAGGGAGCAAGCGAGCTTGGGGGAGGGGGGAAGTGGGAGGTGAGGTGATATGTTTGACAGTTGGCACCGGCCCAAGGTCTGACGCGTGTTAATTTATCAGTTCTTAAGTGACTAAGCTTCTCTCTTATAAAAAGCCAGTGAAATGACCTGGGTGACTATAATTTACATTGCTGGGATTCTTGTAAGATAGTGATTAATTTGAATAATAACATGCTATAATTTGCACTAGACATAACAATTTTAGTACCATAATCAAATTAGTACATGTACACTCCAGCTTTGCACTAAGGTCATTTATTTCTTTTATGTTTCTTTTAGTATGATGTGTGTGAATGTAAATGGATGAAAATAAATGAAGAAATTTACGTAAATCTACCCAAAAATACAGTTGAAAAACTTTATATTATAAAATGTACACTAATGTACTACAATTTTTATCTCTTGAGCAAAATATATGACGTTTATATTCAAATTAATCGCTGTCTTGTAAGGATTCCAGCAATGCAAATTATATTCTCCTAACTTTAGTCGGTGATATTATACAAGATAAAAACTGTAAGACTACTGTATAACTACCAAACCCTGGCTGGGAGGAGAAGGGTGACAGTGACATGTTTGACAGTTAGCGCTGAAGGTCTAGTGAAGTATTTATCTGTTTATTTATGTCATTTAGAATGAGTTTTTGTTTTTTGCTTATAAAAGTTAATAGAAGTGACTGGGGAGAATATAATTTACATTGCTGGAATACTTATAAGATAGTGATTAATTTGAATGTAAACATGCCATAGTTTGCATTTGACAAAAATTTTAGTATTCATTTTGCACAAATATTAAAGAGCACAATTTTCTTGATATTTACTCCACTGGAAATGAATGTAAACATAGAACAGATTACTGAATTGGCAGACCAGCCAATCAGCTGATGCTCACAACAAAACGTGATGCTCGTAAGGATTTCGTTAATCAAATTTTTGTTCGTTAACCGAATTGAAGATTCTTATGGAAGGTAATTCGTTAAACGAACCATTCGTTAACCGAGGGACCACTGTATATATGTTATATTCTTATGGGATTACTTGCTTCCATAGCCGTTGATTCACTAACCAACGACTTTTCATGGCCCATATATGCGTTGGTTATTGGGGCATGCCTGTATATACCCTGTATAGTAGAATAATGAAAAAGTTAAATACCGTACTAACCTGTATAGGATACTCTGAGCTTTGTGTATCAGCGGCGCGACAATCATGAATTAAATACATCATGAGGAAAGCTACTACGGCCGTCACGAAGGCAACCACAGCTGCCTCTATTATTTTCTGCCATGGCTTCTGAATATACCTGATAAAAAAATAAAATAAAAATGGTTTCCCCACATATCTTACAGGGTATTATTCTAACAGCACAACACATCTGGTAAGACACATTAGAAAGAACAGATGACAGTAAATGTTCATTGCTTTTGATTCCGGTCATCGTAAACCAAAGTGAGAAACAGACTGTAAGAACGGAAAGTTTGAAAGAACATCTTCTTCAACTACTGTGTACTCGATGATGTAACTATTGGTACAATACTTTATGAACATGGAGCTTCTTATTACTGTATGTATTCTACAGAAGTACTAGTAAACAACAAGTTTATTTTTCATTATCATAGAGATAAATCTGCCAAAAACAAGAAGAATTAAATATCTTAACAAACTGTTCAAGATATGCCTTGAAAACCTAACTGAGATGTTACAGCCATCCGTGATCTACATTCCAAACATAGTGCAGTACCTCATCCTGAAGGCAGTGAGCTTCAAATTGATGTGGTTGTACAAGGCTCCAAGCAGACCTCCCATGACTCCCATCAGCAAGAAGGGAATGAATTCCCAAATTTCATAAGTCAGATCATCAAACTTGCCAAAATTAAGGAGACCATTGTAATTAAGTTTACCTGAAATGAGATAATCAAAATGAATTGCTCCCATAGTTGCATTCAATGAAGCATTGAGATAGAACAAATGCATAGAAGATTGGGTCATACTAAAGTTCTCTATTCTAGAGAACAACAGTACACCAACACCCAAGTTTAGAGACTTCAACAAACAAGAACATTACCTTAATACTGACACAGTAATCAAGCAAAAATTCCACAACTATTTCCCCTTGGGTTATTTTCCCTGATTCTCTATGACAAAACTTATCGCAGAAATTTCCATAACCACGAGAACCAGACAACTCGTACCACACCGTCACATTACGACCTGGAGATACAGTGAGGGTGACAGGGTGTACTGTAGGTGTAAATCGAACAAGCCCAACTGCCTAGATGAAGACCCTTTGCAAGTATAAGTGTAACTCTAATCCTTCATGTTGAGTTCTGAGGGTACTGTATCAGGAACTGGAGGTATACACACATTTTTTACATACTGTATCTGAACTACCTTTAGAAAATGATAAATTCTTACCTGGAAAGCCATTATAGGCTGAGAGGACTAGATTTAGTGTGAACGTAGACATCATGGCACCAAAAAAGACTCTCCATGTGAGGCCCTGGTTCCAAAAGCTGGCTCCCTCCTCCAATGAGAACAATACTCCACCTGGAAAATATTATCTGATGATATGGAAATGTTTCATTAGTTACATACTGTACAAGCATCTTATTTTTTCCTATTAATTTTTGCCTTTGTACCTGTACACTCAGAAATGTAGAGGATTGTTCCTCAAATCTTACTAGAAACAATGTAGCACTACCTGTAGTGCCTCTCTGAACCTGTGGCACCCAGCTGCCCCCCAGAACCCAACAGGTCCATGCATGTGGCACCCGGCTGCCCCATTAAACTCATGGCACTGGCAACACCTGGAGCTGGTTATGAACTTTCTGTATCAGTTAGCCACCCTCTGGTAACAAATAATTCTTGCAACATGCATTTAAGATATTTCTACAGTAAACATAATTGTAGGTCAGCTTCAATAACTTGGGTTTCACATAATTTTTGTTTGATGTAGTGTTACAACACTGTTGACAAAACAGTGAGTACATTTCAGCAATGATATACTGGTACCTTACACTCAAACCTGCTAACACCAATGCCTCCTGCAATATTTTAACAGTTAACATAATTTTGCTAGGGTATTCTTCAGTAGAGTTTGGTTTAATCTAATACTGTAGATAAAACACTAAGTAAGCTTCAACCATGTCACTCACTGCACCACCTCTCCTCACCACATACAGTACTGTACAGTGTTAGTTGTGTTTATACATTGTAACACATTTTTGGATTAAACATGACTCCGATTGGTTATTCTTTAACCTGACAGTGATTTGTGTAAACACAGAAGTTTGTGGGTTACAGATATGTATGTGTGCAAGCAGCTCCTCATTAACCTATGTACTATTTCCTGAGGGATAAGTGAATTACTACTGTCACTCACTGCCAATAACATGGACATACTTGGAGTCACCCAATAAAACAGTTCTTACCATGAAAAGGTCAAACCAAAAGTACCTCTTAGTAAAGTACATGTCAGAGTGAAGTCATGATGAATGTTCAGTATACCTTTGAAAAGTATTCTTAACCAACAGCTCCAAGTGCCTGGAAGTTGAACATGTGTAGTAAACCTTAAGCTGGGCTGGTGTGTGTGTGTGTGTGTGTGTGTGTGTGTGTGTGTGTGTGTGTGTGTGTGTGTGTGTGTGTGTGTGTGTGTGTGTGTGTGTGCGCGCATCATAAAAACAACACAAGAGATGATTTTTCTGTTATTACTACTGTATTATCATTACAAACTACAAGATTTCATACACTTTATGTGCAATTATCCAAAAAATTCAGGATTACAGTAAATAAATAACATGTTTTTAAGTGTGTCCTTTGTGCACAGTATTTGGTCTGGATTCCATCTATCAGGTTTTGTTGAATAGAAAGTTTTGAGAGTGAGGAAATAACTGACCAACTGGGGCACCAAAGGCAGCAGCGACACCAGCAGCAGCACCAGCAGACACAAAATCTCGTTTCTCGTGGTCTTCACGAAAGTATTCAAAGAATCCAAAATCATGTTTGAATGAAGTTGTTTTTCCTTGTGATACACCTGCTGCTATAACAGCTCCAGAGTGGATCATGGGCCCTTCCTGTTAAAGGTAAACCTCTATTATTATTTACCAACTACAGTAACTATGGCAATGGCTGTTCAACAGTTTTCCTACAGTATACAGTACGTGGATCCCGATCAAGATTTATTTCTACAAGAGATAAAAGATACACAGTTCTGAGTCTCACACTGGGTAAGCCATAAACCATTCACTAAATAGTACAACAACTCAAGTAACATATACTGTACCTTGCCAACAGCCAGTCCACCAAGAACTGACATAATGACTCCCAGGGCTTTGCTCACCAGGGTCTTTATTCTTACAACTCGTGGCACCTTCACACCATTCAGGTAACATTTCACTTGGGGAATCCCGCTGCCGGCTGCCACAGGCTGCCGAGGGACAAGCATGTAAATATAAAAGAAAATAAACAAGAGTAATAAGTGCGATTAAGTGATATAGTAATGAACTATCATGCTCCACTGCAGTGCCTCATTCTACGACTGTATTTTCCCAGAAGGTAATTTGTCTGTATCTATGCCTATCATTCCCTTACTCCAATGATACTCACTCTTTCCTGTTTCCCTTCAATTTTCTTCAGTAAACTTGGTGATGCAGTGCTGTTTAATTACACTGCTCTTTAAACAGAGCTCGGGTACATATAAATGGATGCTGAAAACACCTTTGACTCTCTTTTGAAAATCATGAAGTGGCCAACTGTGTAAGTCCTGGATATGAGTTAATGTACTGGTGCTTTATCTGAGCTTCTAACCATTTACATTAGGCTATTTGGATCAAGTATGGAATGTGTGTGTTAAGACCCAGTGTAACAAATCACCCAAGTTAAAATTAATCCTGGGAGCTTAATATCCAAGGGCAGTTCCCTAGTCTCTTGCATATAGCCTTCACTGTCACAACTAATTAATTAATGTTATACAGTCAATTAACTTTTCTTTCAGCAAAATAAAGAAAACTTACCTCAATGTATGACCCAAGAAAGGCAGCTAGCAAAGTTGGGCCAATATTCATAGCAGCCCATAACAAAAATGGAATAATCATTAAATTAGTTGCCACACCATAATCAGTATCTGATGCTAGAGTCAAGGAGTGAACATTGTTGGGAAGTGACCTGTATGTTGTGTATATAATGTACCAATAATTAACATGTAGTTTTTTTATCATATAGCAGTTGTCGCACATACTGTACTCTCTTGTGTGTCTTTATCCTTTAATCATATCAGTGGCAACACCCATTTCATATTTCAGTTTGTATTGAGAAGTTGACAAAGGACAACAACATGCCATCGTACTGTACTGTACAGTGAAGCCTCGGGTTTCACTTTACGCGTTTCTACATTTACGCGGTACCCTGCCAGAACCGGAATTCCCACTTTACACGGTGCATCTACTCATATACAGGGTGAAGTATAATTTTTTATTTAGCTCATAAAATTCATACAAATTACCCGGCCAGAATATAATTTACATTGCTGGAATTCTTACAATTTGATGATCATTTTGAATATAAGCATCATAGATTTTGCATTAGGCATACAAATTTTAGATCTAATGCAAGTATTTTGTTTACTCAGAGCAAATATGTTATCTTTTGTGCAAAATATATGACATTTATATTCAAAATATTCCTGGTCTTACAAGGAATCCAGCAATGTCAATTATATTAACCTAACTTTAGTTTGAGGTATTATTTATTACTATACCTTAAAATCTAGTGTTTTCCCCCAAACATTTCTCAGAGGGAAGAGCCAGCGAGTGTGAGAAGAGGGGGAGGGGGGAGTTGAGTCCATTATTTGAATGGACATTAACTTGGCGACTGTATTCTCTATTTCTCTTAAATAGTAATTGTGTGCATGTACCATCATAAAATTAAGATGTTATTTTTACTAGAACATAGGTATTGTGTCGGAAAAAGTGGAGTTTGGGGGTCGGCCAGGTCTCTATTTCAATTAATCCCATATGTTATGTTGTTCACTTTACGCGTTTCTCGCTTTACGCGGCCTCCGTGGGTTCAATTGACCGTGTAAAGTGAGGGTTCACTGTATTGTCAGGAAATATATCAAGGTTACTTTTCTGAATGAGCCTTAACAATGCTTCTCACAATGGTTTTAAGTTGCAATTCAAATATGTTGTCTTAATAAATCGGTAATAAAGTAAAAAATTCAAGAACCTCACTCAAATATTTATAACACTAATATAAGAAAAATATGGTTCCAGTATTTTACTTATACTCTGTACTACTGGATGGTTGAGCGACACAGACGCCCTCAACAGGTGGCGTCCTTCTTCCACAACATACAGTATTACTCGTAGTATTTTCAGCAGCCAATCTCTTCATGTGGCCATACCATCTTTATATCCTAATGTTTGCATCAAAAAGCAATCCTGATGGAAATTAAATCTCCTAATGTATCAAATACATAAACATAGATATATGAAAAGGATACATTGTTTCAACCATGTGTATTTGTATCCTGAGAGACATTCAATAGCCATGTCAATAACACATGCGACCAGAGCTGTGAGAACAGCTGTCAGCAACACCACCAGCCAGCGGGCCACGTCCTTCTTCACCACGTATTTGTAACCCATAGTACGCTCTTCGTCGAGCCAAGCAGAATTAACACAGGTGTCATAATCCAAACTCTGGCATAAAAAATGACCAAAATTAATTCAGTTTATGTACATGTATTTCCTTTCACGCAGATAATGTTAATATAAAGAAATTAAATTAAAAACAACTCAATTTCTGTATTGAAATAATCAATAAAATACTGTACATGACAGACTTGTGTAGTTTCTACACAGTAATGTTTTAATTTCTAAAAGCATCAACAGTATCACCATTACAGTACACTATACACTCTCTCTCATTTTCATTCCCTTTAATAATCTTAAAGACACATTTCTTCATAATATATATTTCTTCAGTTAAAAAAATAAAAAAAAATTTCAATCAGATGAACCAAAGCCCAAAATTAATTGACCTTACGTTTAGTTTACACAAGTTAATTATTTTGTTTTATACCAAAGTTTATCATTGTAAATCATAGTATCTAAAAGTTGGTAATACAGGGAGTATACCACCATTTACAGCTAACACTGATTGAGGTGCTCTGGACCATAACCTGCTAAGAGCCATATAGCGCTGAAACCTGTTATGTATTGCACTGTATTCCCCGACCTCTCCTCTGTCCCCTGGGTAAGTCAGAGAGCCAATTGGGAACCTGTACATGTGGATGAGAGTCCTCTGAAAAGATTATTGTATGTCACACATTCCTACCTGAGCATTTTCCTCCATTTTCTATTTTAGCACTAAGTAGATTATAGTCCGGAGCTCCTCAATTATGAACTGTAAGCTCCTGGCAGAGTACTGTACTGCACACACAACACTGACCTCATAAGCGGCTGACAACATGTTGAGTTGACCACGATTTTCATCTGAAGGACTCTCCTGCTGGTCATCAACATAAAAAATGCTATTCCCTACAGCCCCACTACGACATTCTGGTTCAACTGTAGGAAGAAAGGATAACGTAGTGATATAAACTACATTTCAATATTAACCCCCATAACATGATAGATACATCTGACAGACAATGTGTTACAGTGGAGTCGTGATAATTTGTAGGTTAGTTACAGTTCTGGGAGACATCGTAATTTATCAAATCACAAATTATATTTTAATTGACTTAAAAGGAAATACAGTAATTAATTCTGTTTCATGGGCCAAGAAATACCCATAAACTGTTCCAAAACTGGCATAATATACACTAAATATCATGCATAAAAAAATACAGTAAGACAGATATTGTAACAAAACTAGATCTATATTACATAAACAGCTCCTTCCTTTCTCTGGTTGTCACCAATACACCAACATGGAGACAGACAGGTAGGTGCTCATACTGTATATCCATCCAACCTGTGTTTGAAGCTGTCCAGCGTGTTCAAGTTAATAATGATGGTGGTTACTTGTTCCACTACTCTATTTCCAAACCAGTGTTTACCTATCTCATGCCTAAATCTAAATATATCTAATTTAAAGCCAGTGCTACGAGTACGCTCCTGGTAGGATAGTTTGAGTACTCTTTGTTTAGCCCCGACTTCCATTTATACACCTCGATCATATAGCCCCTCACTCTACGTCTCTCGAGGGAGTGCAAATTCATATACTTTAATCTGTCTCTATACTCAAGGTTCCTAATGCTGGGAATGACCTTGTCATCCTACTCTGAATGCTTTCAAAGAATTAGAGCATTGAAATTATATTTCCACAATTTTATGGTTTCTTATGTAAATAAACACCACAGCAGCTGGTGCTAGGCTACAAATTATGAATATTTGACCTTGAAATTTAAAAAATGAGGTAATAATAGAGGTACACTCGGGTAAAACACTACCATACAGGTGGGTACGATGATTTCCAACTGAACATTCCCGTTGTCTCGCGAGGGTTGGTGGGCCTGAATGTGAGACATTTTGAACTTAATTTGGTAGGCCGAACTTAGCTATTTCATTGACGATACAGTGATCCCTCGGTTCACGAAATTTCGGTTAACGAATTACCTTCCATAAGAATCTTCAATTCGGTTAACGAACAAAAATTCGGTTAATGACATTTTAACGAAATCATGTCAACATGTTTTCGCCTGCTCACCAGCTGGAATATTAGTCCGCCAATACAGTAATCTATTCTAGGGATTAAATTCGTTCCCATTTGAGTAAATATCAAGAAGGTTGTACTATTCAATAATTTTCCAAGTTGTATATTAAAATTTTGAGTAATTTTAACACTTATTTAACATAATTGCAGTACAGGAAACTAGTTTTTGGTGCACCATTCAGCCACTTGACTCACCCAGCAAGGCGTCAGTTTGTATCTCTGGTCAGTGGAGGTAACATCTTGTTTGTGGCTCTCTTGAACATAAACTATTTTTACGTTTTTACAGTACAATTATTGGTCATTCTGAAATTCATTTTACATATTGACAATATATAGTGCATTGTAGTATTGATTTAAAGAAAATAATCTTGAATTACACCTAGTGAACTTAAAATTTTATGGGTGACGGCATGGGGTGACTTCTTTTCCACCCCCACTTCCTTCTCTTCTCCCTTCTCCTCCACCCCCACTTCTAATTCCCATCATCATCATCATCAACCAGGAGCCTTCTACATACACACCTCAAAGTAAGTGTACTTTACTGCATTTATTTTTACTTTGTATGTAATTTTCGGTGAGCTGGAACCAATTACCCAAAATCCCATTGAAACAATGGTTTCGGTTAACGAACGACCTTCTGGAACAAATTGTGTTCGTTAACCGATGGACCACTGTATTGAATTACTTTGTTACAATATGACTGGAGAATGTCAGTATATCTAGATAATTTAAACTGTACTGTATGTTATATTAAATGTTCCACACACTGTGAACTACAGTAACCATGGAGTGGATGAGTTGCCATAAGAATGCATTATATGTTTGGCAGAATTAGTGGATACAGTAAAGGCATAAGATTATTTTGCAGCCGAATTTCGAATCTGTGTTTGTATTGCTACTTCAATTTGGGCTAATGCCACATTATGTCATTCTTATTGGAAAATATACCAAGCTGTTTCAAAACATCTGAACAGCTCCACTCATAATTATAACATACACATTCTTTATGTAAGATATCAGGAAATGTTAGTAGCACTAATTTTGTAAACCACAATATTAGGCTGCTACAACACCGCTCACAATGTGTATTAGACATGGAGAAATGAGGCGTAGAATTCCGATCAAGTTTCAAATTGTGTTAAGTGTGGCAGCACTAACTCTGACTCCTTCAGAGTGCCGATCACTTGTTTTGAGTACGTGTGGCTGAACCCATACATGCGCAGGGCTACCACTGCAAGGAATGCCTCAGGGGCCTTTTTGAACATTTCGTTTGTACTGTCAGTTTGTTTAGCGCATGAATTGTAACGGTAGTCTTTTACCGAGTGTACCTGCAAATTTGTATTACCGGTAAGCTAATTATTTTGATTCCATTGTACTCTGTCTGTAGGATTAAGCTTCTTTCCCTGGAAGCCTTTAAATGAGACTAACTGCATGGTTGGCTGCTGCTGCTGAGGACCCATCATGGCTATATAGTTTGTAATCAAGGTGGATCTGTTGTCAGATACCACCACTCATTAGACACATAACTAGTGGACATCTGTCTGCGGCCTCAGGCAACTTGATCCTCTCTAGAGGCAATAAAAGAAAATTTATGAGCCAGTTCCCTTACTTCCAGCCAATTTCCAGTTTCATATTGCATGAGGCTTTTGACCACTGATCTGAAGCCTCAACCACTGAGTCAAATAAAACCTTGCATCTATAAGTGAGTTCTGCCAGAGGGTGTGAGATATAATTAATGGCAAGTTTAAATCCCACAGGTTTAATGGTACTAACCCTCTCTATCTGGCCATTAAACAAAAGTAAGTAATCAAACTTTCAACTTATCATACACGTACAACTAATATATTTCACATAAAAGTTTCATTGCTGACAAGCTTTTATATAAACCAATAACACTCATGCTAAATAATCTTTAAGACAAACCTGGTTTTGTTTTATTCTCAGCAGGTGTGCAGCCGTCAAGAACATCCACAGTCTCCTCCAGGGATGTGTCTACTCCACTGATGTAGTGTTGTGTCTAAAACAGAGCAACTTGACTTACTACTTATTGTATTTATAAATACTGCCAATGAAAGCATCATTATATTCAATGTTGAAACAACTTAATAAAAAGAGTTATACGTATTGCTAAAAATAAATTATTATAATAATAAAATACAACAGGAACAATATTGTAAACATAAGACTATTATAAAATTTAAGTACAGGTAGTGTACTGTTTATCATTCTGTGGATAAGATAGAAAGAGCCTATCATTACTGCTATATTTTGTAACCATGAACTTTACCTTTATTTTTTTCTGAGGTAAGAATGAACTTACAATCACTACAGTATGTTACATACAAATTAACAATACAATACAATATTCAAGAAATCACTAATTATTTTAAAATGGAGGCTTGATCCCAAAGTCTCATGGACTGACCAAGACTGGTCCAGGTAACTCACAAATATTAACTAGTACAATAGTCAGTGGTTGAGATAAGTGAACGTTATTAGTATCTGGGACTAATCCAGTTACAGTATAGTCTCCATTTACGCGGTCAATTGAACCCGTGGAGGTCCGCGTAAAACAAGAAACGCGTAAACGAAACAACATAACATATGGGATTAATTGAAATAGAGACTGGGCCGACCCACAAACTCCACTTTTTCCAACACAATACCTATGTTGTAGTAAAAATAGTATCTTAATTTTATGATGGTATGCACACAATTAACATTTAAGAGAAATATAAATAATATTAGGTTTTCTAACACTTACGTTAGTAGAAAAGATGGCTGGGTACACGGGGATAGGGGGTTGGTTCCGAGGCAGAGGGCAGATTATTGGCCCTCACCTGTATCACTTGTATCAATTGTATCACTATCCACCACAGAGGCTTGCAGGGCCTCTTTGTCAAACCCCTCAAAGTCCATATCCTCACTGTCACTGACTCGGGCCAGCTGTGGTGGGTGGCGGGTGAAGAACTCGGTAATGTTTTGTTGACTGGGCGACCTTGTGCGCACCCTGCCCGCGCCACTTCCCGCGTAAATGATGGAATGAACCGTGTAAATAAAAATTGTCGGTCTGGCAAGGTGTCGCTTAAATGACCAAACGCATAAAGGAAATCCGCGTAAATCGAGACTATACTGTATTATTTATGTCTCCCCTTTGCAGCCACATCCCCTACGATTTCATATCAGCTTCTCAATTCCAGCTACCAGTAATTGTTATCCATTGGGAAGAAGCAGTAAGTAGGTCACCTGATCAAGGCTCACACATAAAATAGGGTTTCAGGATAAATTTTCCATTCATGACCTAATGCCTGGACCAGGCATTGCACACATCTGAAGCACCTACATATTGTTCTGTACAGGGAGGTTGGTGGCATAAATTAACACAGTGTTAGTGTGACATACAACCCACTTGGTAAGTGACCAAGCTACATACTGTATACTGTACTGTATATGTATTGGAAAAAGGATCTCACCTTAAAACTATCCAGTGACAAATATTCTATCAATGTAGTTAGTACATCTATAAATATTGTAACGAATAATTTAGATGAAGACAATGTGTCTTTATATTATTAATTGCCCTAACATGCTCTTCATGAAGGCCATTAAGGATGCAATGCACTTGAGGTCATGAACTTAATGAGTGCAGTAAAGTTGGGCTGACGTAAGAGCCTTGACAGTCATTTTTTTAACTACTGTACTGTATATATGAGGTGTGATCCTAAAGTCCCAGACTGGCTTCATAAAACCTTTAAATTCTAAGATATTACAGTGAAACTTTAGTCACCCTTAAAATATTCTCCAGAGGCCTCAATGCAGCGCTGAATCCCCTCCTCCCACTTCTGGTAGTCCTTGTTGGTGAGGCTGGAGAGCACCTGCTGTGATGAGTCCTGGATCTTCATTCTGTCCCTGATCTTCTTCCCCTGGAGGTTCAACTTGAACCAGAAGTCACAGGGGCCAGATCTGGAGAGTGAGGGACCACTGGGATGCTGTGCTTCACCAGAAAATCGTTCACAGAGAGGACAGTGTGCGCAGGTGTGTTGTTCTGGTGAAGCAGCCAATTGCCGGTTGTCAGTCAGAATCCGGTTAACATTTCCTCACGAGAGGTCCAGTGGCTCGGCAACCTCACGGATGGTCACCCTTCGATCCTCATGGACAAGCTGGTCATTTTTCTGGACATTTTCATCATTTCTCTTATTGGAAGGATGCCCAGAATGATGCTCATTATCATAGGAGGTGCACTCTACTTTCAAGCTCTTGTGCCACCTGAGAACTTGAGCCCTGGACATTGCTTCATCTTTGTAGGCTTCCTTGATCATTTCATGGGTTTCTGCACCATTTTTTCCTATCCTGAAGCAAAATATGATGGTGCAGCGTTGCTCGATACTTCCCCCCGTGTTGAGTGTTGACTGACTCGACCTAGCAGCAGATGGGCCGGTTCACACAAAGCTGCACTAAGGTCGGTTGGCAACACAGTTTCCCAACAAATCGAAGCAGTAAACAACTTATACCCAAGGTGAGTGACTGCTGATGATTCAAATTCAATATCTGCCAAGAGAAAGGTTTTATGAAGCAAGTCCAGGAACTTAGGGATCACACCTCGTAGAAGCCTCACACCATAGTGTTTGAGTAAAATCTCCAACATTTTCACTCCACAGGGCGGCTCCAGCAGTCACCACAACAATGGCACTGCTCATTTTGAATACCTTCCCCAGTTAGTGTTCGTTATGTGCCTGTGTTACTGTGTCCCCTTATTCAAGATGAGTGGAAAAAGACCACCAAGTTCAAGTGAAAGTAGTGGTGAAAAAAGATTCTATAAAGGAAGGATTTATGTTGGACAATAAATATGATATCTTGACACTCTTGGGTATGGGTAGACCCTCAGGTCTTACCTCACCGCACCAGAGATAATTGTACGTAATGAGTCGTAAGTTTACTATATGAGATAAAAGGTGGGAGTTGTTGCATTAGCATTGTAAATAAATTGTCTACAAACAGTTTTATACGATAAAATAATTATTTCTGTACGTACTTTTTACATTTTCCCACCCTCCACCCTCACCAGCAACACAAGGCAAGGTTCAAAACTCTCACAACACTGTTATGAATAAATTAAATCACTGTGATGCACAAGAAATGTGTGGGTCAACGTTATATCCTGGGTCACTAAAGGGAGACTGGTGTGGTGACCTTGAGTGCAGTCTACATAGTTGCCAGACCGCGCTCACAATGTCAAATGTATGTCTTGCGTTCATGTGCAAACCTAAAACAATTTTATTTGAATTTTGTACTTCATATGCACATTTATGTATGGAAACAATAAAGCGATAAGTTAGATCATACGCAATGTTGCGTATAAAAACCCCAAGAGTGTTGGAGGCAAATCCCAGTAACTCTGATCACACTACCTCTTGCAGCACTCAACATAATTTCTGGTGAGTTAAATTCAAATGCATTCATTTATTGCTTTATACTTTTATCCTCTTCACCACTGATCGGCTCGTTATTCACTTGGGCAGTTGGTCACGTCTTTGTTATGTACTGTTGGCAAGTACTGGGCATGCACCGGCTCCTGAATGTAACAGAACCCGCTCCAGTGTTGGTCAACACTCTCTGGCAGATTGTTCCAAGAGTTTACAATTCTCACTCTGAAAAAGTTTGCCCTCACAGTTTTCTGGACTTGTGGCTTCTTCAACCTTGAGCTGTGACCCCTTGTGTCTATTTTCATTCATTTATGTACTAGTGTTAAGTACTAGGATTGCATCTCAACTTATATAATGGGAGTTGATGGGAAATATGGTTTCACGTTATGGAAAATCTCGGGAATGGTGCCCTTCCATGCCTGTACTGTACACACCCTCTATACACTAGCCCACAGCAGGCATACCGTACACCAGGGGTCCGCAAACCCCATTTTTCTGGCCGCATATGGCCGGTAAGGGGTACGTATGTGGCAGGCTTAGTGACGCTAAATTTCGGGTTATGTGGCCGGTAAGACTGTTTTTATTCTTTATAATTTGGGTGAAAATAAAAAGCAGAGAAATGAAGATAATGCCGGATGAACATACTGCAGTGAGCAGACATTCAGTGTGCTTACCTCTGTGAAGAACAAGTAAGCTCTCAAGCAGCCACACCACTCAAGGCTGCTCTAACACACCACACAACTGGTGAAGGCTGTTGTAACACTTTGAACATATTTTTTCTGAAATTGCAAATCACATCCAGGCTCAATCCTCACATTAGTTTTGGTATTGTTCTATGTATTTGTATTTGGAATTGAAAACCTTATTTTCCTAAGCAAAAAGCAAACTTTACTTTGCCTGAATATAACACATGGAGGACAATTTTTCTGTCATTTATAAAAACATCACATAATTTTTCTGGAGGGGTTATTGTACTGTATTGCTTTATAAACCAATTTCCCTGTATGCTTGCATTTGGGGCACACATCGGTTATTAAACTTTTATTTTGTACTGCTCAAAGACAGTTTCATATTTCCATATTTTATATTGTTAAAAGTTATGTTTCCTTAATGTCTTTACAGAATATTTAACTAGGCTAGTGACTAGTACTATTATCTCTGTATAATGTGGACACGAAGTAGTACCTTAAGCTGTGTATTCTTATATTACTCTATTAATTATGTATAGTAAAGTATTACAGAACATGTATTAATCCTATATAATATAAGAATACACAGCTTAAGGTACTACTTCGTGTCCACATTATACAATTTCAATGCACAATATGTATATGCTGAAAATGAAAGCTATGTTTGGTGTCAAATATCGGTGTTGTTTTTAAAAAAGTTTCTGACAACTAAATATAGTCCTGCATTTCTGATTTTACAGTCAATTCTGTCGATTGCTGATTTTTTTTTTTTTTTTTTTAACGGGGATTAGCCCACCCGGGCACAGGTCACTGACCCACATCAGGGCCTAGGGGGCAAAAATATAATAATAATAATAATAATAATAATAATAATAATAATAATAATAATAATAATAATAATAAATAATAATAATAATAAATAATAACAATAATAATAATAACAATAATTAAAAAAATAATAAAGAACCATAAAGAAATAAAAAAAGAAAAAAAAGATCAAAAGTGAGAAACCATATACGTACTGTATGTTGTGTTGTCAATAGTAAGAGAAACAATTGAGACCCTGCAATTGTGGGTAAATGAGGCAGAAAGTCAGGTCAGCAACCTGGGACTTGGTCACAGTTTTTGTGATGCCATATGGCGGCAGGGTCTACCATAGACAACACATTATGCTTCCAATATCTTCCCAGGTGGTAGTACTGTACCTCCCTGTTTGATAGCTGCCTACTACCTACTAACTTGCACCAGTAAGTGGCCAACTAGTGTATAAAGGTTGTGAACCACTGCTGTACACTGTCATCTCTGCTATGGACATTTATGTACATACAGCACTTTCACACTTATTGAAGGTAAAGCGCAGTATACGTAGCCGTTATCACTTTTTACGTCTTAATAATAATAATAGCTGGTCTTTGCTTCTCAAAAGCACCAGATCTTCTAAAGAATTCACGAGTGTTCAAAACACCACAAAGTTAAGACTTGAGAATAAAAGATCACACAAGTGACAGTTCAACTTCTACTATACCAGTACCCTTAAATATTAATACTTCTTAAACCCTAATTGTATCCTGGTACAGTACTGCACAACACAGATTGTATGTGAAGACAGCAGTGAGTGAGTACAATGATGACAGATAGTGAACTAACAGTGTCATAATGCAAGAGTTTGAGGAGATGGACTGAGATACATCAGCCAATCATAGGCATCCCATGACAGTAGCAGCCAATCATACCTCATGAGCACTCTTGAGCCTACCTACCCTCACACCTGCTTGGCACAGGTCAGCGCATGATGCAAGCTCACAGAAATTCTTTTAAATGCCCGGAATGGAGATAATTTCTCTGAATTTCTCGGAATGCTCAAAAAAATATCTGGGTAATGGAAAGTTCCAGGAATGGAAGAGTCCGGCTAATGAGGAGGTTACTGTATTCTAGTAAAGGCTGGTAGGTTCCTGAACTAAGCAGTGTTGGTGTTTCCTGAGCCTACAGGCATTTAACCAGTTCAAGCATGTGCATTCCCATGCTCTGAGAATTAAAATAAATAAATCGTATGATACCAAGTCTGCAATAAGACCAAAAATTTTATAGTACAGTATTTACTGTATGCAATACAGTACAGTACATTTGTTGTGAGACACTTTAACAGTGTAAGCAATGTAGAGTAAACTGGGAGAGAAAACAAAACAGAAAAGGGCATTTCCTTTCCCTAAATGAACATCACACAAGTGAATTAGTATATTATTAGTAAGTGTAACTGTATTCACTGAAATTATACTCCATCATTTGGATTTGGGGCAGCCGTAGATCTTAAACACAGCATGCAGGCACACACACTTTCTCTTTATGTACAATATTATGTACACTTTCACTTTTACACAGACACACACACAAATACTGTACAACATTACACATACACTCTTATATACAAATATACATTTTACTTCTATTGCAAGCATACAAATTTATGCACACACACACTCTTAAACACACAGGACTCATACATAATAATCTTTAATACTTATACAGACAGTAAACACATAAAGGTACACACAAACTCTTGTAGAGAGACAAAGTTGCATGCCTACTGTTCAGACCTACATAACTGTTGCCCATACAGCCTTTCAAGAGTGAAGTACAGTATAACACAGTAGTAAACAGCACTTCTGTTATTTCCAGTGTATTATTCTTTCTTAGCCAGAGAGAAAAATAAAAGCACAAGGAGAGATGAGAGAGTTAATATCGACCCTACTCACTGAGCTTTCCTAAAACGTACCTAGAGCAGGATGGTTTGAACTAGTTGTTGTAATAAGATAATGTACAGTATAAGGAAAACACTATGAGGCAGATGGTTCCACACACACCACTAGTCTGGGGTATAAATGAGTTTTGGTAGGCAAGGATGGAACCTGATTGAGGGTGCATGGTGATGGCAGAATACAATACTGTACTTGAGCGTTGAAAGATCTGTAGAAAAGGGAAAGTGATGAGATATCCCCATGAATGTGCTATACCAAGAGTATCCTGTTTCTTTTTCCACACCATATCAAGAAGGTGAAGTGTCCCCAAGTTACACAGACAACAGCAGTACCTGTATTATTGTCTAAAAGTCAACATAACTTACGTAAAAGATAATAATCTAATTGAATTGCCTAACCAACACAAGCATGGGGAATGGCTCTAAAATGGTGATGGTGTTGATGATGACGTCCCATTATAATATTGTAAATGGATTAACGTTTGTTCCCTAAAAACTGTTTGGACTTTATACCTGAGAACTCCCTACTGGATGATGTCTGGTGCCCTGGGCTATATAGTACTGTACCATAATATCTAACTTGCTTCTGGAGGAAGGTAAAAGGTATATGTATCCATACTTTCATCCACTTGTTGGGCAATAATCATTCTATTTTATTCTCCTATGTCAGTTGATATTATTATTATAGCGGGGCCTCCTCAGATGGGTCCCACTGGTCGGGAAGGTTGAGGACCCCAGGGCCGACCTGATCATCATCATCAAGTTACTGGGGCCTCAACTGACGCCACCGAGGTTGCTGGAGGATCGGCTTTTTTCACACTTCATTTTTCCAACATTCGTGGCCTGAGATCCAATTTTCCTTCTGTGGAGCACCATCTATTAACCTCTTCTCCCGACCTCTTACTACTCTCCGAACTTCAACTGTCCAAAGCAGCTTCACCCAAACCTTTTCAAGTCTCCAACTACAACCATTATACCTCCTTCCATTCTAAGGGAGGTGTATGAGCCTACTGCAACACGCATACACCTATAGCTAGACTCACGGACCTTGAATCTTCCCTTTATGATGTCATCTGGCTCAAAATATCTCTACCAACTGTGACTACTTTATTTCCTATACAAGTACTCCTCGACTTTCGACTTACGATCACCCGGACATACGACCGCCACAGTCGTACAAATTATTTTTCAAATTACGTATTTACAATTCCTGACGTTAGTAATCGCGCTGTGTACTGACAAAATTTTCATTTGTAATTCCCTTTAAAATGGCTGGTAAGCGTAAAAGTGAGAGTTCTCGTGGTGCTGGGAAGAAAAAAGAGACAATCATCTTAGATTTTCTATGTATTATTTTCGCATTTTCGACTGACGACCTGGTCGTCAGTCCCTAACCCCGTCGTAAGTCGGGGACTGACTGTACTGTTCTCCCAACTCTACCAACTATTTGGAACTCTTTGACTATCTCACTTCTTGCCACGAGTCGTTGCTATCCACACACCCCAACACCGAGATCCTCTACCTAGGGGATTTCAATGTACATCACAGAGAGTGGCTTGGCTCTGCAAGGGATGACCCAGGTGGAGCTGAGGCACTTTCTTTTTTCCTACTTAATGACTTGGAACAAATAATCAAACACCCTACACGCGTTCCTGATCAACTTGCTAACATTCTTGATCTTTGTTTTACCTCTAACCCCTCACACTATTCATACTCAATTTCTGCCCCCTTAGGGTCTTCTGATCACAACCTTATTTCTATTAAGTCAAACTGGGCACGACCACCTCCCCCACCCCCCTCTAAACGTCATCTATGGCACTATCAGAGGGCAAGCTGGCAATCCTTGCGAGAATTCTTCACCGACTTTCCTTGGGATGAATGTTGCTTTTCCACTCAGGATGCCTTGGTATGTGGTAACAGCATTGCTGGGGTTATACAGGATGGTATGAGTGCATTTATCCCATCTTCTACCAAAACTTTCACTTTACAATCATGGTTTGATCGCTCCTGCTCTCTTGCATGCAGGGAGAGAGATAGGGCATATCGAGCTATGAAACCATCTCCTCCTATCACCCATTCCTCTTTCATTACTTCTAGGAATCTTTGTAAGGATATTCTTCGTAGGGCCAAGCGAAATTTTATAAAAAGAAAGACCGTTGTTCTGACTCACTCTTCCTCTAGTAAATCCATCTGGTTCTTAACCAAAAACATCTGTAATAACTTCTGCACTCCTCCTTTCCCTCCTCTCTTCCGACCTGATAACTCTATAGCCAACTCTCCCCCTGACAAAGCCAACCTCTTTGGCACCTTATTCTCCTCTAATTCCACCTTAGACGAT